TATGCTGGAAGACCGTCAACCTGCGGCTCTCCGAAGCTCTGAACTGCCTGAAAAGAAAATTAAAACAAAAAAAACAATAACAAAAACGTCAGAACGCTAAAGCAAGATCATCTTCATCCGCCTCCAGGGGAAGGACTACTAGATGTAGTGGAGGCTCTATCTATTAAGCATAGTCTACCTACATCATTTCCCTCCATCTAATGGTATTAATATTTAGAAATCTACAACACGAGGCATAGTACGTCGAGCGAAATAATCCAAACAAGGAAACCCTCATGTATATACCATATGTCTCAGACTGTAGATACCTAAATATCAATACCGACTATGGAAAGAAACAACACTAGAAAATAAAACACCATAATGGACATTAACATATAATTCTCACGTACTCACAAGAGTAAGGTATCTTGCTCATATTATATATAATATAGGGAAAAGTGAATCTAAGGTGACACCCTAGGCTCTCACCTAAGGACGCGGCCTAAAATTACATCATTTCCTAAAATTTTTTGCGATCCGCTCCGTTGAACTTGATCTACACGTTCTTAAACCCAAACACACCAATTTTGGGGTGAACCCGTCATGTTTTGACCATTTATCCACTCGCTGCAATTTTAACGATTTCGAATGAATAGAACCTTTTGCACGGCTCAACGAATGGTCAAAACACAACGGGTTTACCCCAAAATTGGTGTGTTTGGGTTTAAAAACGTGTAGATCAAGTTCAACTGAGCGGATCGCAAAAAAAAATTTAGGAAATGATGTGATTCTAGGCCGCGTCCTTAGGTGGGAGCCTAGGGTGTCACCTTAGATTCACTTTTCCATATATATATATATATATATAATATGTGTGTGTGTGTGTGTGTGTGTGTGTGTGTGTGTGTGTGTTTTCTATTTGAACGAGTATTAGCAGTAACTTCATTCTAAATCCATTAATTAATTATAAATTTTACTTTACATGTGAACATGCCTGTGTCACATTTTTGAACTTCAACCTTTGAACAAGAATCTAAATTCTATCTTGCTTAATATAGAGAGAGAGAGAGAGAGAGAGAGAGAGAGAGAGAGAACTTTTCCAATGCGAAAACGTTTCGCACCGTTTACTGTGCGAAATCACCGTGGTCCGTCGGATGTGGTTGAACGGCTGAAAATCGAGTCTCATTAAAGTCGTGAAGAAACCCTCAGATCACCTCGTGACCTCATTTCAGCCGTCCCAGACTCTCCTCCCTCTCTCTCCCCAAACTCCCCTCCGACCTCAGAGCCGACGCCCTCTCGCCTTCGCCCTCTCCTCCAACCCTAGACTCCCCGACGCCCTCTCGCCGTCTCCCTCTCTTCTCGCCGTCGAGCTCCCCAGAACCCAAACCCTCTTCCTTGAATCAGGTGCGTTTTTATATTCTTGCTTGATTTAAGGCATTTTGATGTGGGTTGTTGATGTTTTAAGCGATTACATCTTGTTGATGTTTTAATTTTGATTTATAGACAGATTTCATCTTGTTGTTAGTTTTGTTGGAGACAGATTTCATCTTGTTTTAATTTTGATTTATAGACAGATTTCATTTTGTTGGAGACAGAATTCATATGATCCCATTTATTTGAACCAAACATAAATTGTGCCCAGACGGAATTGTTTGTGGAGGTTGGATCTGTAACATAAATTCAGCTCCTTCTTCTATTTTTGGTTAACTGTTTTTCGTTTGCAGTGTTTGCTTGCAGACATAATTGTTTGTAGAGGTTGGATCTGTAACATAAAGCCTGTGTGTTAGAGGAAATTGCGTACCACAATTAGCAATAATTTTTGTATACATTCATGAACAGGATTGTGAGGATTATAAGTGCACGCTTGGCTATTTGAGGTGTCACGTAGATTATCAATTTATCACGAAAGGTTAATTATAGACCCCCTGTACAACACGTTATGCCACTCATTACGCCTTTAGAATTGCAAATAAACCTTCTAATGCTGAATGATCATCAGAGATTTGTGAAGGACAGAGACTTTAAAATTTGCAAATAAACCTTCGGATGCCGAATGATCCTTAAGAGGCTTGTAACAGACAGTACTACTGTACTATCACGCTCCTCACCGTCTGGTCCATCTCCGCCACAAACTCTGCTGTTTCCGACGGAGAGGAGGCGTGGAGGGCACTGGCGGCGTACACTTGACATACCTGCTGATATCAAACTTAAATGTAGACCTGGCTATAACTTCATATGATTGCACATATTCTAATTTGCTCTTTAATATGATTGTCTGGTTAAACTTTTGGTTAAACTTTTGTATCTGTAGCCGTGGATCATGGAGTCATCTTCAAGCAATCGTCGTGCATTGTTGTGCCATTGTGGAAGGAGGGCTGTACTCTCCAGATCTGGAACTAAGAGGAACCCCGGTCGATTGTTTTTAGGATGCGCGAATTGGAGAGAGAGTAATTGTGGATTCTTCAAATGAGTGTCTGATGAAGAGGAGTTTGAAGGTTCAAAGGCAGAGCTTGTTCAGACGAATCAGTCGAGCGTGACGCCACAAGTTTCAAGAACCGTGTCAAGTGGGGAAGTGTGGGAAAGGAGAAAGCTTTCCCTTGATATTATGGATTTGTTGAAGCTTGTTGTATTTGCTTTTTTATTTGGTATTTTTTTCGGATTTGTATTTTGTATTTTTATTGGATTTCTACTAAGTAGGGTGTAAGAATGTATTATTGGAGCATATATAAGTGATGAGAGCAATTTCAATTGCTCAAGGTATAACAAAGTTATCAGTCAACAGAAGGGCCCAAACTTTCTACTTTTATTCTTTCTGGCTTACTTGATGCACATGCTAAATCTTAATTCTTTAGCTGCAGATATTTACAAAAGCAAAAGGACACAAACTATCAGATAAGATTTCCTGGATGCAGATCCACATAATAATTAGAAGAATGTTCATGGTTGATACACGGTGCAAATTAACTATCCAGCAGCTATTAACTATCCAGCAGCATAACTATAACATGCATAACTATAACTTTTGAAATGAGATGGGAATGCAAGCAGTTGATACACGGTGCAAATTATAACATGCAGCATAACTATCCAGCAGTAGCAAACGTCCAATCTATTAACAACAGAACCAAGCAACTACAACATGCAGCAGTAGCAAACGTCCAAGCTATTAACAAAGCATCATGACATAAAAGCAAACTTCACAGTGCAAACCTCTGCATGATGCACCATAACTATCCAACCTTTCATCACAAAGTCAGCAACAGAACCACCAAAAGATGAAAATAAGCAACAATAAAATGGAACATCATTCACTATCCAACCTTGATCAATACAGAGAAAATAAGCAATAGTGTCTCAATCTTTCATCACAAAGTCAGCAACAGAACCACCAAAAGATGAAAATAAGCAATAGTGTCTCAATCACTTGGGGTACCACACAAATACATAACCAAAGATACAAAACTAAACCCATTGGTGCTCTGCCTTCATCAACCCCTTCTCACCAATAGTGATGTGATTTGCTCTGCCAACCTTGATTAAACTTCACGCAATAGTGAGAACTTCATCTGTATTAAAAAAATTAAAAAAAACAAATTGCTTCATCACATTAAAAAATCACATTATATAATACAAATGGCAATGTACAAGTTATTTCGTATGTATTAACCATTACCTTCCTCAAATGAATCTACTAAATCATCCGTGGCTTCATCAATGTTATCTTGTTCCATTGAATCACTATAAAAAAAAATTGATTATAGCAAAACATATTAAAGATCATCGCACCAACTTAAAAAAAGTTTAAAGAAATAATAACTTTAGTATTTCTAAAACAAATGATACACTACATTGACAACTTTAGAGGGCAATTTCTGCTATCATGATTTTGTCCTCGCTTTCCACACAATTTGCATTTCCTAGGCCGGCATCTATGGATCTCTCTCGATGGCTTTAACCTCTTCCCTTTAGGCCTTCCTTTTGTTCTTGCTTGACTTGGTTCATGAACTATATCTTGAGAACACTCCTCATCCACATCTTGTCCAATTTCTTCATCATTGATGAGTTTCAAACGTTGCACCTTATTAATAGCATCCATCATCATTTCACGCATTAATTCATATACATCATTAGAAGATAGCCCCTCTTTGACCATTTCATTAGCTAAGCAATTTAGTTCACTAAAACGAGAAGCAAAATTAATTGTGGCATTATCTCCAATAATATTACCATCTCTAAGAACAACCCTTTTTCTGACATTTCGGCACCATCTTCTTAGAATATATTGCTCCGGTAACTCACTATGATTGGTAATTTTAAGATATGTCAAGATATGTCGGCATGGAATGCCCTTGAATTCAAACATGAAACACGAACAACGGACCATTTTAGTTGTTTTGCAATATATAATATGTCTCAATTTTTCATTATGACCACAAAAATTTAATTGGAAAGTATTTTCTCTTTCATTTTCTTTTACTAGCTCAATGTTATACATTAAGCTTGGTTGAAGCTCGTCTTGAAAAATATAAAAGATTTTTTTTCGTGTAGATTTGGGCCATTTGTTTTTCCATTGACCATAAAGTCTTCAATTTTGGTTTTTTCTCTACTGTGCAATGATCTTCTTTAAGCTCCCACTCTCTTTGTCTCGCCAAGACCCTCTGAAATATAGTCACGAAATCATGAAGTGATTTTTTCCTTAATATATGTTTTTTTAGCAATGCATTCATCCCTTCACTTCTTTGACTGCTAGACATGCTAGCCCAAAAGTATTGTTTATGATAAACGGGAGCCCATTTTTCACGAATTTCATAGATATCATTTAGCCAATGCCCAAAAGTATTGTTTATGATAAACGGGAGCCCATTTTTCACGAATTTCATAGATATCATTTAGCCAATCATGCTTTTCCAATCCATTTTTCTTAATAATTGAAACCCATTTCTCTTCAAAAGAGCTAGCATCGTCGGAGTCCCAAATATTTTCTTTGAAAGATTTCATAAATTCCGTTCTATAAGCCCATTGACCCAACTTCTCCGGAACTTTGTCCAAGATATGCCAAATGCAAAACCTATGCCGAATTTCTGGAAAACCCAACTTCTCCGGAACTTTGTCCAAGATATGCCAAATGCAAAACCTATGCCGAATTTCTGGAAAAACGGTTTCAATTGCCTTGCATATTCCAAGACATTGATCAGTAATCATGCCCGAAGGAGGATGACCCATTGCTTCAATCCATTTGTTAAACAACCATACAAAAGACTTCGCCTCTTCGTTTGGGATCAAGCCACATCCTAAAAAAATACTTTGCCAATGGTGATTTATGCCTACAAATGGAACAAATACCAAGCCATATTGATTTGTGTTATGTGTGGCATCGAAGGAGACAACATCGCCAAAGTGTTGATAATTCATTCGAGCAATGCCATCCACCCAAAAACAATGAGTTAAGCGCTTCTCTGCATCAACTTCATAAACATAATAAAATGAAGGATTCTTCTCTTGTTCCGACTTGAAATGATCCAACATCATTTGTGCATCATGACCACGCCTCTCCTCTCTCAAATCTCTTTCATAATTTCTCACATCGGTCTCAATGCATCCAATTCTATGAAAAACTCCGCTAGAGTTTTCAAAGAAGGCCATTTGCTTGTTTGTTGGAATGTTCACCTCTCCAAACTGCTTTATTAATGTCTTCTTCGCACTTGTGACCTCACGGTTTTCCCTTAGAAAATGTGTTCTACTCGGTGAAGTAATTGTATGATTATGTTCTTCCACGAACTTGTAGACACTCCATATGCCAATGTTCTTATCTAATTTGAAGCGAATCAAGGCCTTACAATTTGTTCTAATTGTACCACATCGTCGAATTTCCAACGATTTTCTCTTTAACACTCCTTCTTTCGAACAAACATAACTTTTGCAAATTAACTCTCTATCCTTCCCATAATTTGTTGTGCTATTACGGATATCAAAACCTTCGACCTTTCCGTAATTTCTGTAGAATTTTTTAGCATCTTCTAAACTATCGAAAGTCATTCCTATTTTTGGCTTTAAGTGCTCATCAACAATTAGCACAACTAAGTTATCTAACTGGGATATTTGTTCATCAACAACATGGGAGCAACCATCTTCAGTTTCTATTGGATCAGACATCAAGAACAATTTTTACCTACAAAAATTAACATCAACAACAAACATCAAGAACAAACCATCAAAGACTACTGTGCACAAACATAAACAAATATCTTTCATGTATAAGATATATCTTTCCTATAAACAGTTATTATATGGGGTGTTTCTTGTAAAAAGTTATTATATGGTGAAGCATCTCTTGCAACAGAAAAATGTCAGAGAGTAAAAGTTTGAAACTCAAAGTCTAAGCACTAGTTTAACGCCACTAATCTACATAATTGACAAACAAATACTGTATCTGTGCATAATTAATTAAAAAACCGCATATGTTTTCAGGTTGTGCAAATGTCGTATTTTTTTTGTATATTGTCCATTTGCCCAATTGAGGTTGGAAAACTTTGAATTCGGTCTAATCCTCTTGGAGTTGTTTAGTAAACGATGGAAAAAATAACAAGAATAGCAAGAATCAAGCAAGTAATCGCTTAAAAAGTAATCGCTTAAAAAATAACAAGAATAACAACAACCTCGACGGGGAGTCTGGGTTCTGCGGAGATCGACGGCGAGAAGAGAGGGAGACAGCGAGAGGGCGTCGGGGAGTCTGGGGTCGGAGGAGAGGGCGACTGCGAGAGGGCGTCGGCTCTAAGGTCGGAGGGGAGTTTGGGTTCTGTGGAGCTCGACGGCGAGAAGAGAGGGCGACGGCGAGAGGGCGTCGGCTCTGAGGTCGGAGGGGAGTTTGG